GGGTGGTGAACAGTTCTGCTTCACAAGCATTTTAGGTGCCACTGGGGTATGAAAAAAACTTCTGCAGCTAGCTTGGTGTTGGCCCAAATGGCTGCAGAGTTTTGTGCTTTTACCCAGGGCCCTGGTGGTGTAAGCACCCAAGGGAATCTCCTGGTCTCTGGGCTGTGAAGACCATGAGAAAAGCATAGCATCTGGGCCTGAATGCACCATCCTTCATGGCACAGTCCCTCATGAGTTCTCTTGGCTAGGGGAGGGAGTTCCCTGATGCCTTATATTTCCTGGGTGAGGTGACACCTCACCCTGCTTCAGCTCTCCCTCCATGGTCTGCATCCATTGTCTAACCAGTCCCAATGAGATGAGCCAGGTACCTCAGTGGGAAGTGCAAAAATCACCCACCTTCTGCATTGATCTCACTGGAAGCTGCAGACTGAAGCTTTTCCTATTGAGCCATCTTGCCAGCCACCCTGAACAAAAAGGTAAACTTTCAATCATTCTTTATGCTATACTCCTTGAACAATGAGATTTCATAAATGCTGTGACTGTCACTAAATAGTTCCAATTAAACAAAAAAAATCTTAACTACAATATGCAGTGCCCTCATGCTCGCTTCTGACAACTTACTGACACAATACACCTTGACTGTCTCAAACACCAGGGCACTCTGTCACTTTAAAAAAACATGAGTAGTTCCTTTTGCCATTACAGTCAGTTATACTAAAAAATGTTCACACACAGACTGGTTATGGACAGATACAGACTGGTGGTTTCAAGTTTTGCCAGCAACAGGTCATGTCTGTAATGTGTTATTCTTTTGTTCATTATTGTTGTTGAAATATAATTTACATACTATAAAATTCACCCTGTTGAGACATACAATTCAGTGAGTTTTAATATAAAGCTATGCAAGTATCCTTAATATCTAACTCCAGAATATTTTCATAACTCAAAAGAAAGTCCTGATCAGCACTTTACACATTCCCCCTGCTCTTCAGCCTCTAGAAACCACTAATCTACTTTGCTTCTATAGATATGCATATCCTGACATTTCATGTAAAAAAAAATCATGTAGGCTACCAAAGACCCCCCAAACCCTGTCACCACTACAAACATCCACAGTGTTAACCACTGAGGGTTCCTGTAATCTTCCTCAACAGGAGTATAGGTGTGCACAGAGTTTATAGGTTCTGGGGACAGGCAGGGATCTTGGCTGACAGACCTACACAGAGACTACACAGCTGCTGTGTCCTCACTGGTGCCAGAACTTCTGCACTCTATCCAACCAGTTCTCTCACATTCCCCTCTAGGGGAAGGTCTTTCTATACGTCTTTCTAGCCTTTAAGCCTAGAAAAGATGACTGTTCCAAAAAATATGCAGACATCAATGTAAGACAATAAGAAACATGAAAAATCAAGAAGACATATCACCACCAAAGGAACACAATAATTTCCTACTAGTTAATGTTCCCAAAAATGGAGATGCAAGAACTGCCTAAAAAGTAATTAAAATATCTGTTTTAAGGAAGTTTGGTGAACATTAAGAAAATGAAGGGAAACAAATCAATAAAATCAGGAAAATAATACATGAAACAAATTGAGAAATTTCACAGATATTGAATTAAAAAAATAAACAAACAGAAATTCTGGAGCTGAAAAGTACAACGTACAATGAATGAAATGAGAAATGTGACGGACAGTGTCATCCCCAAAACATATCAAGCAGAAAGAAATCTGTGAACTGAAATGTACATTATTTCAAAATATATAGTCACAGGAGAAAAAGGGAAAGAGAATAAAAAGAACTAAAGAGAGTTATGGTATTTATGAAATAGCATCAAAAGAGAAACATTTGAGTTATGGCAGTTCAAGAAGGAGAAGAGAGAGAAAAAGGGACAGAAAGTTTACTTAAATAAATAATAGTTAAGAACTTTGCAAATCTGGAAAGAAAATGTAAACATCCAGGTATAGGAAGGTCAGTGATCTCCAATCAAATTCATTCTAAATAAGACCATATCAAGACATATTATAAGCAAACTGTTAAAAATCAAAGAGAAAGAGAGGATCCTAAAATTATCAAGAGAAAAGAAGCTTATCACCCATAAGGGAGTAGTAAGACTAGTAATGGAATTCTTAGCAGAAATCTTGCAAACCAAGAATGAGTGGGATGATGTATTTGAAATGTTAAAGGAAAAAAATGCCAAGAATATTTTACCCAGCAAAGCTGTTTTTCAGAAACAAAGGTGTTCTTTCCCAAACAAAAACTGAGGGAGCTCATCATCACTAGACCTGTATGGAAAGAAACATTAAAGACAGTTTTTTAAGCTGAAAGAAAAGGATGCTACTTAGTAACATGAAAACATATGAAGTATAAACTCACTGGTAATAGCAAGTCAAATTCAGTCAATTCAGAGTACTCTAATACTGTAATAGTTGTGTGTAATTCACTTATACGGTTAGTGTAAAGATAAGAAAAAAATACTGTGTATCTTTAAAAAATTATCGTGCTATTACTTTTAATAAGATACACAGTATTAAAAGATGTAGGCTGGGCGTGGGGGCTCAAGCCTGTAATCCCAGCACTTTGGGAGGCCGAGGTGGATGAATCACGAAGTCAAGAGATCGAGACCATCCTGGTCAACATGGTAAAACCCCGTCTCTACTCAAAATACAAAAAGTTAGCTGGGCATGGTGGCGTGTGCCTGTAATCCCAGCTACTCAGGAAACTGAGGCAGGAAAATTGCCTGAACCCAGGAGGTGGAGGTTGTGATGAACCGAGATGGCGCCATTGCACTCTAGCCTGGGTAACAAGAGCAAAACTCCATCTCAATAAATAAATAAATAAATAAATAAATAAATAAATAAATAAAAGATGTAAGCTGTGACATCAAAAATTTTAAATGCAGGAAGGGAAGAGAAGGTAGAATAAAAGTGTAAAATTTTTAATATGATCAAAAGTTGCTATCAGTTTAAAATAGGCCATTATGATTATAACATGTTTTATGCAGGCCTCATGGTAACCACAAAACAAAAACCTGTACTACAAACACAAAAGATAAATGTAAAAAATATTGAAGCGTATTGCCAGAGAAAAATCACATCTTAATCACTAAAAGGTAACAAGAGAGAAAGAGACAAAGAAAGCATCTATAAAATGAGAAAATAATTAACAAAATGTTGGCCGGGCGCGGTGGCTCATGCCTGTAATCCCAGCACTTTGGGAGGCTGAGGCGGGTGGATCATGAGGTCAAGAGATTGAGACCATCCTGGTCAACATGGTGAAACCCCATCTCTACTAAAAATACAAAAAATTAGCTGGGCATGGTGGTGCGTGCCTGTAATCCCAGCTACTCAGGAGGCTGAGGCAGGAGAATTGCCTGAACCCAGGAGGCGGAGGTTGCGGTGAGCCGAGATCGTGCCATTGCACTCCAGCCTGGGTAGCAAGAGCGAAACTCCATCTCAAAAAAAAAAAAAAAGTAAGGAGTAGGTTTTGATTTATCAATCATTGCCATGAATGTAAATAGATAAATTATCTTATCAAAAGACAGAGAATGGCCAGTTGATTAAAAAACAAGACCCAGCTATATGCTGCCTACAAGATACTCACTTCACCTTTAAGAACACATACAAGCTGAAAGGGAAGGGATAAAAAAAGAAATTCCATGCAAATAGAAGCCAAAAGAGACTAGAAATAGCTATGCTTAAATCAGATGAGTCAGACTTAAAGATATAGGCAAGAAAACCAAAAATAGATAAATAAGATCACATTATGCTAATAAGCTGCACAACAAAGGAAATCATCATTAAAGTAAAGAGATAATCTTCAGAATGAGAAAATATATTTGCAAACTCTCTGTCCAACAAGAATTAATAACCAGAATATATAAGAAACTCAAAAAGTGCAATGGCAAAATTAAAAAATAATAATCCTATTAGAAACTGGACAAAAGACCTGAACAGATATTTCTGTATCAGAATTTCCATCTACACAATTAGCCAAATATTCTATTTAGGATGTTATTTCAGCATCTATCAGGAAGAAGAAAAAGAGGGTGAGGAAAACTAAGTTTAGACAAGTATATCTCCTATGAGATTTTTAAAAATCAGGAATTCCCCAAAAGTTCATCTTACACTGAAATCTTAAAATTAGAATGTGCAGGGGACATGTGAAGCCTTTAAATGAATTTTAATCTAATCTCTTTAGATTTTAATGGCTTTTGTGGGCAACACTGTTTTCTAAATGTCAGAGAATATGAGTTTCTATAAGCACTAATACTAGGAAAAAAATATTAAATTTGGCACTCAAGGTGAGTTTAGATGAGAACAAACAGGAAGCTGAAGGTCACAAATCATGTTTAGATAAACAACAAGCACAGTAACTAATGTAGCCTTAATAGGTATTAGAAGGTAATGTCACTGAGTGCATACACTCCCTGAGTGTGAACTGAGCATGCTTAGCATCTCAATTCTCTTAGCATTTATTAATTTTAAAATGTAATGTATGAATGCAGCTTGTGCCACTTTTTCTCATTATTTTACATTATTATTACCATGGTAAATATTATACTTAAGCATTGTCATTAGTAATAGCCTATAATGGCAAATATAACCAAAGTGACTGATATATCAAAAATGAAGGTGGTGGAAGGACAGGAATATATAACGGGGGAGCATCAAAAACAATGGCTTGATAGGTAATAGAATTGAGATAATTGCTCCATTGTTGGGGTGAAAAAAATAATTGAGGTAAATGAATATATGCAACTGTTTTGTAATTGCCCTTAATCATGGAATTCATGTTTTCTAACAAAAATATGTGAACTAATATAATTATATAATTATGTTTTTCCTTTTTATACACATGAAAACAAAACAACCACCTTCCCTACCTTGGAAAAATCCACCATATGGTCATTTAAATTCTATTTAGTTTGAAGATACAAGGTATTTTGTTAAAGACTGTATGTTAGAGATATTGGGAATTTGTTTATTTATTTATTTTAAAAAGATTATAAAATTGGTTTATTGTAAAAGCAATTCAAGAATACCCAGTTAAAAATCTTATCCCAATGCTACCCAATACAACCAAGAAGCAGTTAAGCACTTTTACATTAGGAACAAGGACATAAAACAAGAGACCACATCAAGGCTATGCTTCAAACTGAGAGAAAGGACTCCTAGGTCTCCTTCAGGTCAGTACAGAGGGCATCATAAGATCAAAGCACTGCGCCAGGTATCACAGTACTGCTACAACACTGAGGTATAACTGGGCAAATTAAAGTCAAGGGGAAATGAAGATCTCCATATTCTTGTTTTGTGGATGTACTTAAGTGATTGAAATTCTAGGAACGGCTGCGTTTAATGACAGCAAGATGTAAGACAAGTCTTTATTAAAGAGAAAGAAGTTCATAAAGTTCTCTATCAAGGTCCCCCTAAATCTTCACAACCCTCACCCCAAACCTTCCCACCCTCCCACTAAGCTAAAGCTACTTTGCTGATATATAAAATATAATCTTAATTTGTGGTTACTGGCAAATTATAGGCACTCATTCCATGTAGCTTTGATCTTCTGCACATTAAAAAAAAAAATCCCAACAACATGCTATATAATTCATATACCCAAACTTGCATTCTAGGTAGAATTTCATTATTACTGTAAAACTCCATCTGTACAGTGGCCATTTCCCCCCGGACTTAATTCAAGATTTAATCTTTCTGCCGTTTTCTTAATAAAAGCCTTAGAGTCAATTATTATGAGTGATCGACCTATGAACTATTATATACAACACAGTGACTGCATTTTTTTGAGCACTGAAAGTATTTAAAATAAAACTTCTGACTTCCAACTTTTGCACTCCTCCAAACTGATGGGCCAAAATACTTAGGTTTTGTAATTGGGGGAAAAATAATCTATCTTCCCAAGCTGAGGCTTTTCATGGCAGCTTTTGCCAGGAGAAGAGACTTTATACCTGTTATAAACCCTTGAAATTAAGGACTTATTCTAGAAACATTAAAAGACCCTTAAACGTAGAGGTGCTAGCTCGTGCCACTTTAATTCACAACCAACTATTACTTCATAGCTTATATTGAAGAGTTAATTCATGCTCATTTTGTTCCTTTAAAAAGTACTCTTTGGAAACCATTACTCCTGTAGACACATACTCTAGTTACATCATCTCTTCCTGTAAAAATAAAGGCATAATCATGATTATCTCTTATTTCTTTGCTAAATTCAACTACCAATATACATTTATTAATCCGATCACTTTTCCAGCTAACTCATGACCTTATAGTATTCTATCCAGGGTCAATTTTCAGCATACAGAAGTAGGAGCAAGTCTTATAAGAACAATCTTGAAGGCAATATTTTCATCTAGTCTTCAATGTGTTCATTACAAATGAGAACTACAAACTAGAATTTACTTCCAAAACTAAGGCAAAGGTAAACTTCCAAAGCTAAATGATGGTAAACCACTATAAAGCTTATTTCTGTCATGCACATTATAAACCTACTCAGTGATTTCCAACCAAGGCTGTTATTAGTCCAAGGGAGTCCAAGGGAAAAATTAAAGCCACTTCTGGTTCGCCCCTTTCCAATTTAGCAGATAATATCTATTGTATGCCCACAGGGTGTGGAGTACTCCCCTAGGCACTATCCATAGTAATAGCTCTTTCTAGAACACTAAACTACTTCAAACAACTGTGTCCACAACCAGATTTAAAGTACCAGTGAAATATTAACTACTAGTCATGCATTCTAAATGCATACAAAGCACTACCATTTTAAAATTAACTGGAAAGTAGGGAAACCTAAAAAGAAAGGATACATTCCGCTACCGCACTATTGTAAATGTTATGTTTGTGTGTGCATGTATATAAAAGAAAGAGCAGATAATCAAGATTTAAATAAGGTGGTAGAAAAAAAAAAACAGGAAATGAAGATTTTTACCAACAATTACAATAACTATCCCAAGCTACAACTATGAACAGATTCACTAATATGGTCATTTGCCTAGGTTCCAACAAAATCACCAACCCGCCCCCCCAAAAAAAAACAACAAAACAAAACAAAATGCACACCCACAAAATTATCCACCAAAACCTATACTAGAGTATGTGGCAATAATTAATATATTTCTATGGAAATCATCTCCTGCCTAAAGCTCCTAAAATAAAAATCAAGGTCACCATGTGACTAATAATAGCACCAGGAGGAAAAGAAGATACTCAAAGTAAAAGTCTTCAGCCTTGGTTTCAACTATCTCTTCAAATCAGCATTAGTACTTAATATCAGATATAACATTTTTTGGCTTGTCAGACCAGTAAATCGCATTTTTCCAATGGCCAAAGGCAGCTGAAGAAACAACTGTTGAACAAACTAAATGCTGTGACATGAAGCATCTGACTTCTGAGTATTTAGTCAAAATGACTGGTGAACATTTAACTGGGCAAAAAGAATGGCATCGATTATCCAAACAGGCTCACTTCCCCCAGACCCCAAAATGAACAGTAGTTATAATAGCAAAAGAAACAAAAAGGTTTTTCTTTTTTTGATTCTTTAGAGCCAACTGTGAAAAAGGTCAGCAATAAATTAACAGCAGCAATGGACAAGGAAGAGCAAAATAGAGGATTAAAGTATCTTGCTGGACAGTTGTTCATCTTTTTCTGTATTAGCCAGAAAACTGCAACTGACTTATGGAAATTTCAGGTGCATATGTCTCCTTAGATCCTTCACAGATTTAGAATTCAGTCTACTGAGGGCTCTATAATCATGTAAGAAAGCTTTCTTTATCTAGCTTGGCGGCAGCCAAAACAGACTCCATGTCATTAAGGATGTCAGAACTCAAAGCTTCCTGCAGACTTGGCATCAACTCCTCTCCTTCTATGTTCATTCCATCTCCTTCCAGTGTTCCAAGGTCCACATTTGTCCCAGGAATGGCTTCAAGGTAGTCTGGGAAACGGTTCTGCTGCGAGGGCAGGGGGCTTTGGTTGATAGTATCACCCGTTTCCATCTCATCAATGCTGTTCAGGAAGTCATCTGGAGTACGAGGGACACTGTAGCTGCTCATGCTTAGTCCACTGTCGGTACTTCATCTCGAGAGTGATAAGTGCCACTGTTCAGGAAAGGATCTGAGCTATCGGTCGTCATTGTTCTCAATTCCTGAGACATCCCGGGAGAAGACACTGGATTTTGAGTCCCACCGTCCTGCTCCAGTGTTGGTAAATGGCTATGCAGTGCTAACTCCTGACATTTTGGAGAATTTGCTGTGCTGGGATTGATATTCTGCATTGCCTGCCAAAGCAGTTCTTGCTGTTTCAGCCGCAGCCTCTCCTTCTCCATCTGTAGTTGCTGCAGTCGCATCTGTTGCTGTTGGTTGGAGCTGCTGCCACCCATGACACCTCGCTGTGGGCTCTGGGGAGCCAGGGGTGGTGGCTGTTTCACTGGAGCACTCTGACTGATTCTCTGGTTCATGGCTTTACCAAACGAGGTTCAAGCCTTGGGTCTAGCCAAGAGGTGGTCTTGTTCTTATGGTTTAGGTAGTAAATTTCTCTATCCTGAGTCATGGCTTGTTCCCATCCATCAGGAAGAGGACCTGAGGCCGAATTCATCATATTCTGCTGCACAGGTGGACTGGTGGGGGCTGTAGCGTTCATCTGAGACAGCATGGCCTTCCTGGGGTCCTGCCATGTTGTCTGATCGATGCGATTTAAGAAGTATTTTTGACCAGAAGATGTCTTTGCCATCTCCCAACGTGCTGGCAGAGGTACATCATCAGGTATCTCAAAAGAAGACTGTGGAAGATGCTGCGCTGTGGGTGTAGCTGCTGGGCCAGACACTACTCCAGTGGGGGTCAGTGTCCCAGGAGAAACAGCTCCCAACTGCAGAGAAGCTGGAGAGGAATGAGCTCGAACATGAGGGGAGTCAGGGCTCCTGCAGTGCCTGCATCAGTACTGGCCTGTCGGGAGTGGGATTTGGGCTCGGGCGGCTTGAAGAAGGAGTCGGGCAGCTTCTGGAGCCCCATGGGCACGGTCTGGTGCACGTTGGCCTTCTTGGGGGTTCATGACGGCATTGAAGAGCGCCTCCAAGTGGGTCTGAGTCCCCGCGGACGTGCACGATCTGATACCCGGCGGGGCGTGCCTGTGACGGGTCGTCGCGGGTGCCGCCGGCTGCGGACGGCGGGCCCTGCCCTTGAGGAGGCGGCGCAGGCGGCTGCCCTTGACCCTGGGGGGCCACATGAGGCGGCGGCTGTTGCCCGGGTTCCATGGCTTCTGCCTCCTCCGATGCGCACCCCCTGACCAGGCGAGCGAGGGCTCCGCCCGGACTCCCCGGCTCCACAGGCCGAGGTGGAGAAACGGCGAGGGCTGCGGGCTGGACGGTGGGAGCGGCTCTCTCCTAGCTCTCACGGCCGGGGGCTGTGCCGCGGCCCCGCATCCTCCGCCCAGGCGCCTCCGCCTCCGCCCCCGCCTCCGCCTCCGCCTCCGCCCCCGCCCTGCTCCCGGGCTCCACTGGTCTGGCGGCTGCGCCTCGGGAGGGGCTGCGAGGGACCCGGACCTGCGGCGCCTGAGAACTTTTTCCCTCCAACTCCCTTGACGGAGGCCGGATGGCTGGTGTCCTTTCCCCTCCTTCCCCTTTCTCTTTTATTTCCTTTTCTTGTTCCTCCCTCCCTCCCTTTCTTTTCCCTGGCGGCGGCTGCGCCCCTGTTTATTTAAATGAACAAAATAAATCAGTATAAAACACCTGGGACAGGGGAAAGTCAGAAAGCAGAGAAAGCTGGGGAATCGTCTTAAGACATGGAGTATGGAACTGATGCATAAAAGCTAGGTGATCAGAGCAAAAGTGGGAGACACTAAGAGGCCAGGAACATCCCAGGTTGGAAAACACAGCCAGTAGTTTTCTTTTGTAGGGATGTGCTCAGAGTAATTAGTATCTAAAAAAAAAAAAAAAAAAAAAAAAAAACCAGAGAAATATTATGCAGGTAATTAGCAACTTGAGATAATTAGTTTTTAGGTTAAAAGCCTGACTTCTCAAACTAGAAAATGTTGATTCAAATCCCTGCTCTACATATTAGCGGTGTGAACCTTAACCTCTCCATGCCTCACTTTTCCTCATCTAGAAACAGGAATGATATTAATAGTGCCTGCGATAGGATTGTGGTAAGGAGTAAATGTGCATATGCTTATCATATATTAAGTGCTATTTACATGTTTGCTATGACAGGGATGCAGGAAAGCAAAAAGAACATGCTCCCACCCTTACTAAAATAAAACAAAAACATCAGATAATGTGAAATTTCATTATGTTTCTTGAACTTATAAGAAGGCTAAAACTTCAGGGCAACCACAGACCACACACACACACACACAACTGGAGAAAGTCTAGAGAAATAGTTCCTCTTGGTGCAGACTTGAAAAGGAGAATGGCAGTCACTCAGATTATTTTCCCCAGTCTTTCCTACAGAACCAAAGTTTTAAATTGCTAGAGAAAGTGCAATAAACACTGTCACCCGTAGGGCCCTGGTGTAAACCTATGTTAATGGGTAAACCCGGGCCCGCGTGTGCGCGCGCGCGCGAACACACACACACACACACACACACACACACACACAACCTTCACCTATGTCGAAAGGACAGGAAATACTGCATATTCTCACTCATAAGTGGGACTTGAACAATGAGCACACATGGACCCAAGGAGGGGAATGACACACACCAGGGCCTGTTAGGGGGTAGCGGGTGAGTGGAGGGAACTTAGAGGATGACGGGTCAGTAGGTGCATCAAACCACCATGGCACATATACACTTATGTAACAAAGCTACACGTTCCGTGCAAGTATCCCAGAATGAAAAGTAATTTTTTTAGAAAAATTATTTTTTAAATTAAAAAAAAGAGTATATGTTTTGCCCTCTACCAAAAAGCAAGTATATTTATAGTGTAAGCTTGGATAATTATATTTATTCAGTGTAGAGTCCTCTTTAAAAGAAAAAAATTTTTACCGGAAGTTATTACTCAGATTCAATGTCATGCAAATTACATATTACCTAACAGGATTGATCGTACATTTCATGATACGATATTAGGTGTTTGTCTTTATTGTATTTATTAGACATTTCCAAATATTAGATTTTATGCAATTTGAGTAGTGTAGGATCCATTTATTGTTGGTGTTTTCAATGTTTTTTCAAAAACTAATGTTAGTTGAATTATATTTTTAAATGTAAAACTAAAGGAAGCATTAGTCTAGGATTTCAGGCTCAAAATGAACTTCAAACCCTAAACTGGGCAAATAAACAGGGATAGGATTCATGGGTGATTTCTAGACAGGAATCCCTGTTGTTTCATGAGAAATTCAAGACAACAAATGCCAGTTTTCCTAAATGTGGGCCATTCATTGTAGCTTACAAAGCCTCTGAGATAATGTCAGGCTTTTCTCTTGTTAGAATGAAAAAAAAAAATCTCCAAAGGAAAGAAAAAAATGGCTATTTAAGTGCAATTTAAATATCCATTCAAACTGTTGCATGTAGATTCTTTCAGCCTATGATTTTGCTTTATTTTCCTCACCGAATGACAGTGTTAGGTAATAGCTTAGATCTGGCTCACCTGATTTAACCAGTGCTATGTGAAGTTGCAGGATCATAAAACGAAGATAAGGATTTGGGAAGAGAAGATACTCAGTGATGCTTTAAGGATTGACACCTCCCCACAACAAAGAAAAATTGGAAACTTTCTCTTTGACAAATTACCTCAAATGAATTCAATTTATGATTCTTTTATTTTTTTTTCCTCTGATAATTGTCTAAAAGTCTTAACTGATGTTTGATAACAATTCGCATTGAAACTAGGTGGAAATATCCAACAAAATGCGGAATATTTACTGTTCCTAGACTCCTTTACATTGTGGGAAATTAGATGGCAGTAGGTGTATTAACATGTTAAATATTTATTTCCTTTTATCCTCACATCCTAAACCACTCTACTATAATGCAGTGAAAGAAGCAATAAAGCAAAAAATCAGAAGGTTCAAATACATAGCCAAAGCAATGAAAATCTGAGACAGGAAAACCAAGTTGTAGCAACAAAATATAAAATTCATAGGAGTAAAAGAAGCCCTGGCCACAAATCACTTACAAGCTATTCTGATATATATTTGCTATTTTGTCTAAAATCCTATTTCTACTTTTTCATTTCTAGGTTTTTATTATGTAAATACTCACCTTTGCTTAAATTATTGTGCCATTGGAAATATTTTTAAATCTTGAGGGAAAATTTCTAGATATATTAAAAGGCATTATTTTTGTCAATCAGAAGTGCCAGAGATTGGGATATTCAAACAGATGATGGCCTTGACATACTCTCCCCAGAGAAAACTAATAGCAAAACAGTGAGCTTCCTCTGCTCTCACCTCACTAAACTTTCTGTGTTTCCAAGATTCCCTTGAGGAGGTTTCCCTTTCATCCTGGAACTTTTGCCATGGAAATTTATAATTTCCTAAGTGCTCTCATCTATTTAAAATCATTTTAGTGTTGCATTGATATCAACACTCTGAAGTAGTTATTATCCACATTTTACAGAGGAGAAAACTGAGACTTGAAGGGTTAATTGGATTGCTCAAGGTCAGGTTCTTCAAACTTTATAAGAGCTAACCTGGAATGTTGCTATAAGGTAGATCTTCACAATTTTCAAGCAGCAGTGTAATCTCTTGGTTCCTCTATTGTTCTTTTCCTGTTTTTCTTGTCCAGGTTTGTGGAATCCTCAGCTTTCACTCATGCTCAAAATGTTGTCACATTTCTATTTTTTTTTCTCCAGATTTTTTAATAATCGCCATTCTAACTGGCATGAGATGGTATCTCAAGTCACATTTCTATTTACCGCTGCTTCTGCTTTTCTCATTCAGCAAACTCAACTATCGCTTCCATTTCTCCATCCTGACAGTTTGCCTTCAGTAGTTTCTGTATAATGGTTTAAGAGAATAAACCCTAGAGTTCGAGTTCAGTCAAATATATTGCTTTTTTTATCCTTTCCAAAAAGTCCTCATTGCTCAAGTCTACCGAGGGGCCTAGAAATTCAGTGGCTTTTTGCTTTTGTACCTTGGGGTGGCTTCCACTCCAGGCACAGCATCTAGGTGATTCTCCCATTCCATAGGTTGCCTGATCACTTTGATGATAGTCTCTTTTGCTGTGTATAAGCTCTTTAGTTTAATTAGGTCCCATTTGTCAATTTGCCCCTAGATGTACCTGTCAGGATTCTCTGGTGGGCCTATGTAGAGGCTTAAAGTAGGTTTCTTTTTATTCCTTATTGCAGGCAGTATTTTCCTCTGCCTTGATGCTTTAAAAGGGAGGCTCTGTCTCTAGTCAACCTCACCAGGATGTCTGTAATTTAAAATATGTTTAATAATTTAAAGTTTTTACTAGAGTAGTTGCATCTTTTTTTTAAACAAATTAAGTTCTGGAATTCATGTGCAGAATGTGCAGGTCTGTTAATACAGATATATGTGTGCCACGGTAGTTTGATGAACCTATTGACCCATCCTCTAAGTTCCATCCCCTCTCCTGCAACAGGCCCTGGTATGTGTCATTCCCCTCCCTGTCTCCATATGTTCTCATTGTTCAACTCCCACTTATGAGTGAGAGTATGTCGTGTTTGGTTTTCTGTTCATGTGTTTGTTTGCTGAGAATGATGGCTTCCAGCTTCATCCCTGTCCCTGCAAAGGACATGATCTCATACTTTTTTATGGCTGCGTAATATCCCAGGGTATAATGTACCACAGTTTTAAAAAATCAAGTCTATCATTGATGGGCATTTGGGTTGATTCCATGACTTTGCTATTGTAAAAAATGCTGCAATAAAGATATATGTGTGCATGTGTCTTTATAGTAGAATGATTTTCTTTGGGTATATAACCAGTAATGGGATTACTGGGTCAAATGGTATTTCTGGCTCTAGATCCTTGAGGAATTGCCATACCATCTTCCACAACAGTTGAACTAATTTGCATTCCCACCAACAGTGTAAAACCCTTCGTATCTCTCCACAGCCTCGCCAGCATCTGTTGTTCCTGGACATTTTAATAATTGCCATGTTGACTGGCATGAGATGGTATCTCATTATGGTTTTGATTTGCATTTTTCTAGTGATTAGTGATATTGAGCTTTTTTTCACGTTTGTTGGTCATGTAAATGTCTTCTTAGAAATGTCTGTTCATATTCTTTGCCCACTTTTTTATAGGGTTGTTTGTTTTTTTTCTTGTAAATTTGTTTAAGTTCTTTTTAGGTTCTAGATATTAGACCTTTGTCAGTTGGGTAGATTGTGAACATTTTCTCCCATTCCGTAGGTTGCCTGATTACTTTGATGATAGTTTCTTTTGCTGTGTATAAGCTCTTTAGTTTAATTAGGTCCCATTTGTCAATTTTGGCTTTTGTTGCCATTGCTTTTGTTGTTTTTTTCAGGAAGTCTTTGCTCA